AAAAAAAAAAAAAAGATCATTTCTTCTTCTTCCCTCATAAAATTAACATATACGTTGGATTCATTTACATAACTCCAAAGAAAATTGTGTAACTGTTGTTATCAGCTTGATTATTGCACATAATTGCCTAGATGGTGAAGAGACTGTATGATTCCAAGAATAGCAAGCGAAGTATGAAGAGTTGAGTTCTCATCTATAATATAGAACACGCAAGATCGACCCGCAACTCTTCACACAGACTCGCAAGGGCACCAAGGAAATCCCAGTTCCGCACATCAACCGTGACATGGAGCCCGAAATCTGTTAATAGTAGTTCATGAGTGCTACAGTTCAAAAGCCAGTAGATCATCGTTCTCGCATAAATTTGGCAAACTAGGGTTCTCTCCAAAATAATTGCAGGGTTCTCTCTCCAATCATTCTATCAACTAACTATCACCTTTGAAAAAAATGATCATCAATAAATTAACAAAATATAATCGGTTCAAACATCACCCTCATAAACTCAAAACACCAACATAAAATCAAGCATTAACACTTACTTCAGCGGAAGAATTTACCAGAAACTAAATGGAATCTTCACGGCACCGAGTTTAAACTGGATAGTTTCCCTTTAACGAAAACCAACAAAATCAGAAGAGGGAAATAAGAAGATACCTTAGCGGGACCAATGAAAGGGTTAGATTTGGTGAGAGACATGACATAAGAGGTGGCTTCTTCATTTTGTTGGAGTCGAGAATATGCGGGCGCTAAATGTGATTAAAGTCCATGGCTATTCCAACGGAGCCTACCACTGGTCCCACTTGAGCATGCATGGAGAAGTATGTATAAGCTATGTTGAAGGCTCGACAAGAAGAAGACAATAATTAATATCACCTACGATCTCGGAGGGTTTCCCATTCAATCGTCATTGTCCTCTCTCAGCTACAGTACCGCTCGACGCTACGCCGCGAAGTTGGGATGGCGGCAGTCGCATACACAAACTAAGATTCAAAACGATGCGCTGCATAATGGGCCGAAGCCCAAAATATTAGACTCCCTGACCCAGTTTGATACATGCCTGGATTGCTGACCCGAAATCAGATACCACACGAGTTTTCGTTTTCATTAAACTTTTTTTATTTCAATTGAGTATAATTAATTATAATATAATTAATTTTAATTAAAATTAATTATATTATAATGAAATTTTTTTATATATTACTTTTCAAAATTAAATTATTGATAAAGTTATATTTTATATTCTTAAATTTGTTAAATTTTATTTAAAAACTAAAATATACTTCCTCCGTTAAAAAATATAAAGTATTGTTTAAAATTTAAATGTTAAAAATATAAAATATTTTTAGTCTTTTGAGATATAACCATTACTTTTTAAAAAAAAAGTATCTTTATTAATAATGACTTTATATTTATTATAAGGTGTTTAATAGGGGTAAAAATGAAAAGATGGAGTTAGTTTAAAAGTAGGTAACTACTTTATTAGGATAAAATTTGATTAAAAATATCTTACATTTTTTAATAGGGGGAGTATTATTTAACAGTAAAATTAACTCTATAAATAATCTTTCAGAGTTCATTTTGAAATGTGATTCTGACTTAATAATCAATTATTAATTTTTTTTCTATTTGAGAATTTTTTCTAAAAATTGATTATCTAGGCCCCATAATCAATTATAACATCTTCCCAAATAGGTAGATCAACTAATACGAAAATCAATAATAAAAATTAGTATAATTTATTTTTTATAAATTTGCAGTGCACGAGTGCACGCATGAGAGAGAGAGAGCGCGCCATTGAACTTGCTTAATTATTTGGGTTAGAATTTCTTTGGGTCCAAGTAAGTTCGTTTAAAAATTTAGAACAATAATTTAAGTTTAGTTTAATGCAAAGAAGTGTTTAAAGTAGAGACATGTATTTAAAGACTTGAATCAGAGGGAGATTCGTATCGTACCCGAGCTGGGTAATTCTTTAAGGCCATGTTTGATAGATTGGAATTGTAAAGATGAAAATAAAATTGAAATAAAAATCTGAATAAAATGATGTTTAGTAGATATAAATCATAATTTTTAAGAATTCTGATTTCATGAAAATTGGCTGAATTAGATTCTTTGTTTAAAGCTATGGAATCGGGTAATTTCATAGAATTATGACTTTTAAGACACTTTTACACTCATAAAAATTTTAGAAAGACAATTTTGCCCTAAAAATATATAACCCTAACCACACCCAGAAATGACCATTAGACGTGGCAAATCGAGCAAAGATGAGAGAGCAGTGGGAAGATCAACGACAAGAAGAACGACGGATGACGATTGATGCAATCTGGAAATTAAAATGTGAAAATTAATATTTTATTTATATAGTAAACATATGAGGAAATCAAAATATTTTTTGTAAAATATCTTACTTATATATAATATCTATCATCTATATAATATTTCATTAACATATAAAATACATAAGGAAATTGAAACACAATTAAGCTTTTATTATGTTTTATTTTAATTTTTATATAGGGGTATTTTTGTCTTTTAAGTATGATTTCATTTTCACGTCTTATGTACCAAACAAAAGTAATGTAAGGATTTCATCTAATTTTTCTAACATATCAAATATATTTTTGTAATTCAATTCTATTTCAATTCTAATTTTAATTTCAATTTCGATTTCATTAAAAATTATTCAATCACATCAAATGAGGCCTAATATTATTCCTAAATCCTAGCATCGACACATTCAATTTGAAATGAGCTATCTTATCAGGATAATGAAATTTTGACCATTTTTAGAGTTTATACTTTTATTTTAATTCTATATTTATTAAAAAAATTATATAATATTTTTTATGATAGATTTAATTTAAATGATTAATTTAATATTAAAAAATTAATAATTTTTATAAATTGACGATCTAAATTTACTCCGAACAATGTAAAATTTTTAACTTTTAATCTTTTAAAAAATATTTTTAAAATGTTCCAACTATATTTTTAATATATTATTTATCAAAATAAAAATTATAAAATTAAATTTAAACTGTCTCAAATGCATTTAAAAAATCAATTTATAAAAATTATAAAAAATTAATATTAAAAGAGCCCATCTAGATTAAACATGTAGCATTTAGATTGATTATGAATATATTTATTAAAAAATTATAAATTTTTATTTTAATAAATAAAAAAAAACATATATATATTTTTTTAAGTAAGAAACGGTGCGAAGACGGATCGACCGACGTTACAGACTTACAGGGCATGGAAGACAGCGACGCTTACAAGAGGGGGGGGGGGGTTTTTTTTTTTAAGGCATATTCCAAAAGATATTCTGATATTTACGTGCCACGCGAATAAGATAGTTTTGAAATTCCTAGTTAACTGGAAGAGTAGGATAATCTGACGCGTCGCAGAGCAGATTAAGCAAATAAACAACCCAGTCAACTTAAAATCCACATCTGTATGCTAGTACTAGTACTTAAGATAACCAATAATGGGAAAAAGTACTCGATTTGTAAAAAATAAATTTACACCTAATCAGTATATATAACATCCTAAAAGATGTACTGCTCGTGGATAACACACGACACAGCTCATTTTTCAAATTTTACGCCACACATAAATTCGCGTATCTAGTTACTATATTTTTCTGTCATCAAACACTTCGATTTAAACATGATCATGATCAATGCTGGCAAAAAAATAAAAGAATATATTGCATTTTACACACACATTAATTATAAGCGCGCGAGTTTGTATGCTATCAAGACTCGAGAGATATTTTTTTCGAGTCATCATCAAAATTTTCATGAATATGGATAGAAAGGATCTTGTTTTCCCCGGCGACAATTGACATAATGGAAAGAGGAGAATTTTGTTGGCGTTCATGCGTGTCCAAGAAAAACCAACAGAGACAAGTCAAAGCATTAACCAATCGAGAGGAAGCAAAGTCGAGACTTCCGTGTGGCTGTTGCGGAAGGATTATCCAACATTTCTCTGAGACTTGCTTGAAGCCATTGCAAACTCCCCCGGCCAGAATCGATTTCAAATTGTCCTTTTCATTAGTCGAAAATAAAAAAATGTATTCTCTCTCTCTCTCTCTCTTCATGTCTGCCACTCCTTTATATAATTCCTCCTCTATCTTCAGAAATCCCAAGCCCAAAGCACCATTCATTCACAGCAGCATATTGAAGCAATCAACAAGAAAAGCCCCCAAAATGGGGAAATGTAAGTCATCATTTCTGGTGTCCCTTCTACTGATTCACGTCCTAGGTTTGTCACTGCTTCCTCGGCCCACACTATCAAACGAGCTGAATGAGTTCTCTCGTCAGCCTCCTCGCCCTGTCATCTTCACTGCTCACGACCGCTCCAAATCTCACCCTCAACAGGTTCCTTAATTGTTAATCGAGCACTTAATAATATTTGCGTCATTCATAAGCATGTCTTGAATCCTCGACCGATTGGTGTTGGATTACAAAGGTGCACATTTCGCTGGTGGGGCGAAACCACGTGGGGGTTACGTGGATTACAGAGGACAAGCACGCACCGTCGACGGTGGAGTACGGCAGAGTGTCCGGGGAATACAGCGAGAAGGCAAGGGGGCATCACACTTCGTACCAATATTTTCTGTACAGTTCCGGTAAGATCCACCACGTCAAAATCGGACCTCTTGAGCCCAGCACCACTTACTTCTATCGTTGCGGAGGGTCTGGCCCTGAATTTTCCCTCAAGACTCCTCCGGCTGACTTCCCTATCGAATTTGTAGTCCTTGGTAAGTTGTCGCGCTCATTACTTTTCATTTTCGGTTCGATTTTGTGTTTATTATGCCTCAGGTGGAATTAAACAACTAAATAGAGAAACCTTGGAGAGTGGTTTTGGCTAATGCTTGAACCCAACGCAAAGGTGTGGTTTCTGTGTTCAGTACTTGATTATTAATTTGTAGGAAATTTGGCAAACATGCGGCAACAATCCTAGGCCACATATAGAGGATAATAATTAAAAGCAAAACTCTTTATATATTGCTCAACATCGATTTCCATATCAAAGTTCTTATAACCAGCTCGTGATCCGGGTATAGAGCTTGGATCCGCTGGAACCAGGCTCCTGGCGTTAAACGACAGCGGAAATAAAATGCTAGAGATGATTTTAATAATATATAATTAAATTCATATTTGATGTGCGTGGATGTGTAGGTGACTTGGGTCAAACAGAATGGACAGCATCGACTTTAAAACACGCAGATAGCAGAGACTACGACGTATTTCTGTTACCGGGAGATCTGTCGTATGCGGATACCCATCAACCACTGTGGGACTCTTTTGGTCGTTTTGTGGAGCCCTATGCCAGTCGACGGCCATGGATGGTGACGGAGGGCAACCACGAGATCGAGTCCTTTCCCACCACTTACCCTGATAGCTTCACGGCCTTCAATGCTCGTTGGCCCATGCCTTTCAAGGAAAGTGGCTCCGCCTCTAATCTGTACTACGCTTTTGAGACTGCCGGTGCTCACATTCTCATGCTGGGTTCTTACACCGACTTCCATGTTGAATCTGACCAGTACAAGTGGCTTCAAGCTGACTTAGCCCTTGTTGATCGGATCAAGACCCCTTGGCTCATCGCTCTCCTTCACGCACCCTGGTATAACACTAATACGGCTCATCAAGGTGAAGGCGAGAGCATGAGACAGGCCATGGAAGACCTTCTTTATAACGCCCGAGTTGACTTGGTTTTTGCCGGCCATGTTCATGCGTACGAACGCTTTGTAAGTCATCCCCCTTTAATTCTGTTTCTTTTTTTTTTTTTTTTGAGTTTCTTCTCCTTTAATTTCTAATATTTGGGATCGATTGCAGACTCGAATTTATAACAAGAAGGCTGATCCGTGCGGTCCCATGTATGTGACGATTGGGGACGGAGGAAACCGGGAGGGACTTGCGTTAACGTGAGCTTGCTATGCGTAACATTTTCTGAATAAATGTAAACATGTAGTTTTGGTTTGGTGATTTGATATGCGTGCGCATTTTGAGATGCACAGGTTCAAGAGTCCATCGAGCCCTCTGTCGTTGTATCGGGAGCCGAGCTTTGGGCATGGAAGGTTAAGGATCCTGAACGGGACGCATGCGCATTGGTCATGGCACCGCAACAACGACACTGATGCGTTTGAAGCTGACAGTGTTTGGATAAGTAGCTTAAGCAGCTCCAAAGCATGTCGGAACCCCGCTCGTGATGAACTCTGATTAAGTATTTCTGCTTCTCTTTCCATCAAACTGAACACGGAAACTAAACTTCCAATTAATGAGAAAATGATTTAAAAAAAAAAAAAAAGACATGAGTGACCTTACTAAATGACCTGATCATATCATGCTAGCTCCTTGGTTCCTCATACATCTACAAATCCTCCAATTGAGTAGCTGATGAAACAGGGCCTTGGGCCCTTGACAGCGAGTTGTGCATAAATTTGAAGGTTTACTTTCCTCTGAGCTTGGATCCAAGTGTAAGCCCATTCTGACCAAGGCCTGCGGGCAACTACTTTAATTTAATGAGATTTCAATTAAAAACTACTCCAATTAAATTTTATTAATATGTGTAATTTAATTAAAAATACTTTATATGTAAAATAGATTAAGCATTTAATAACAACATTTTTTTCCAGAATATAAAGTCCAATTTGATGGATTCTGTTTTTGGCATATGGTTTAGTAAATGAAACTTGCTTCCGCTTATGAACAGCATAATTTGTTATGAAAATTTAAAAGTATGCAAATAAATTTATCATATTCTATTTTATACGTTATTTTTAGCATTGGCATTTGGAATTGCCTCGGAAATTGTTTTTTTAGTTAGTTTTATGTTTTCAAGCATTGACTCAAATCCAAGTAAGAGAAAGGAGTATACAGGTGGCTAAATTATGACCACCTAGTAAGTTTTCTTCACTTTATTTTAAACGAAGGCTGACACTGGTACATCTTGGCAAAGAATTAAAAAAAAAAAACTGTTTACTACATTAGATGCACCTATAATCAAGAGTCAAAATTGTATGAGATAGATTCAATTAGTTGAGGTACTTACTATTCTGTCCATTTTAAATTATAAAATATTTTTTAAAAAAATTTACTGTTATAAAGTATAAGATACATTAACAAAAATAAAATTTTATTAATAATTTTTTTAATATTATCATTTTTATTATATTATTTCTTTAATATTTTTCACTAATTAGATATTAAACGAAAGATATTTTAAAAAATTATATTTATATTTAAAAAATAAAATTATAAAATACATTTGATAAATTTTTTTAATATGTGTAATTTTATTTTAAAATATTTTATAATTTAAAATGAAATGAATAGCTAATGGAAGAGCAATAATTTATCAAAAGAAGCCAGCATTACAAAAGCCGGCCGAGAACACCAACTAGAGACACGTGTATCTCTTAGGATGTCATGGTGATTTATTAACGAGAATTCATCCATCATCCAAGCATATGAAGACGCGTAGACAACAATCCCAGGGACAAAGACACTTTCGATTTTTCCTCCATCCTGCAGCCAGCTAAACCCCCCGCGTTCATGTCCGCTTGTCCACCATGGTTTCCAATCGCTCAATCACTGACAGCCTGACTTCTCGCCTGATTTATTTTCAAAATTATAAGAAAGTTATGTACTACTGTTGATCGTCATCATTTTCAATGCAAATCGCGTTGCTAGAGTGAATAATTATAAGGGATGGTTAAATAAAATTGTTATATGATACGATTTCTATTCAAACCTGGCTGAGCAATATAGCATCGTAATTGCAATGATTAATTAGCTTTGCTTCGCGTGGAATTAAAATATGCTTCTGTGTTAATCCGGGGTGGTTGACTTCTGACTATCTATCTATCTTGCTCAGTACAAGTGACACACTCACTCGTCCATTTAAAATGATGACAAGCGCAAACGAGGAAGACGATAAGGTGACATCCACACTCATACTTGAAAATACAAACACTCCTGATCCGCACCGAATTGGCGTTAGACAGATCAACTCTAAATGCTTCACAATTCAACCACCCACTGGCTGGACCCGACATCTCAATTCCAATCAAAACAAGAAAAGGCAATTTTTCTTTCTCTCACAAAGCAAAGCCATAAATTCTCCCTCGACTCTTTCAACCCTCCTAGTTTCTTTAGAAGACGGGAACTTAAAATCTCGTCTCAAGAAATTATTAATCCTCCTATCCAGCTTCCAATGATCATGACAGAAGTTCGCTGTGGACGGTGCTGATCATTTTGTTCGCATATCTTATCCTAGATCGCCCTGGCCCCCGACATCCTACGGTGCGCATTAAATCCTTTCGAGTTTCTCAACTTTGATCAAAGGATTTGCCAGAGTGATTTCCTCTCGACCCACCCTCTTGAAATCGAAGCCACACCCCTGCTTCTCCAAATTCCTGTGGGTCCCACAAAAAGTGACACCACACTTGCACTTGAAGCCGATCAACCTGACTCGATTCCGGCATGTAGCACATCGGTTCGGTTGCGCGGCCGCCACTTCTGGCCTGAAGGATGCAATGGCTGAGCTCAACACATCGGCTGAAACTTTCAGCAATTTCAACGTTGGTGTAGGAGCGGGGGAGACTACGGCCGATAACGGAGATGAGCCAGGGGACAGCAGAGAAGCAGTGAAGGAAAGGGTTGTTTTGATGGTGGATTTGGTAGACGCTTCCTGTTACTCCTTCAAATGGAAATTCCTGTAGCACTTGGAACAAAGATTCATAGTGGCCGAGCTGTCAAAAAAGCCACAGTTGTTAGCACAGAATTGGTGGCCTTCGGGAGCCTGGCATCGGTGCTCTTCCACCAGATTGTTCTCTTTTTGCAAAATGTATCTAAACTTCTCTATTCCATTTTAGCATTGTAACGATTTCGATGAACACCAAGCTGCCTATGTTTTCATGTGAGTTTGCTATCAATATTGTCCACCAAGTTCTTGTAATCTGACTCGATAGGAACCTTTTTAAAACCAAAATCCCAAACCAGACGTAGATTTCTAAGGATTGCCTACTCCTCTACTTCATAAGCACTACAAGATCTTGATTAATGGCAAAAGCCCACAATCCAATGGCCTGTATGGTCTCTGAGCACCCCCTCCACATCCAACTACTCCAACCGGTGATGTTCTTGCCCTATCAACATTAAATTTGACCTACCCATCTAGAGGTGGTAACCAAGAGTTGACTGTGGGAAGTTATTGCTGGAGTTTAGATCATCCTTGCCACGTTCAACAAAGTTCAAGTGGCCATGATAATAGAAAATGGGTCCTTTGGCTTTTAGAATTTTGAATCAAATACACTACTATTCCGCCATTTCCATAATTTCTAGATTATAACTTCTTATAGCAAATCCTAGTTAGAGTTACTGTCCTACCAAACTTTCTTCTTCAAATTAGCAGTCATCCAGTCCTTTAAAGATATGGAAAAGAAAAGAAAGTGGTACCTTTGCGGCACTAATCTCTTCCAGATTTGTTGGGCATGAGTACAATCTTTAACAATGTAAAGAATATCCTCCACTTTAGTCTAACACCAATTGCAATTCGTAATGCTTTGAGACCACTTACTCTTCCATGCATTGAAAGATAGCCGATTATGGAATGTTTGCCATATAAAGAACCTTTTCCTTTCAGCTCCTTTCTATTTCTAGATACCTTTAAATGTTGTATCATATACTTAAAAGTTTCTGTTCCATGTCATAACATCATCTCCCACAGTGGTTATTGGAGGCATAACAGATATAAGCTTCTGTATAACCTTCATTAGTATAATTATTGATAATCTGATGTACTCCTATACATCGTAAGTAGTTCAATCTTTAACTTTGCTTTCTAGCTCCTCTTGTGTAACATCCTGCAAATTCATCCCCTAATAATTAACCTAATTAAGGGTAATTAAGTAGGATTTATGTGGTGTGAAATCAAAAGGGATTAATGAGTATTTTTAGTTGAGATTTCAAGTATAAATTAGGTCTAAAGTGAAATTGAGTCATTTGGGCATTAAAAAGTGGAGAAAAATAATAGAAAAGTTTATGTGCCAAATGTCACGAAGTGTGTGTGGTGTGCTGCGGCATACAGAGCCAAAGTACATGAAACAGTCTCCTTTGTACCACATACCGTGGCGCATAGGGATAAGCGCTGCAACACACAATATGAATTCTGCAAAAGAAGGAGATGCAAACTGTAAAGAAATTAGAATAGTTAGAACATAGAAATGAGGAGAATGAAGAGAGCTCTTATAGTGCATGATTTTAGGGAGGACATGAGAATATTTGAAGCTCCTAATCATTGAGGTTAATGTCCTACACCCCTTTCCTCCCTTTCTCTTCCATTTTAAGGAAGATTAAAGTCAGGGTTTGAGTTGGAATGATAATTTTGGTCCATATAGATTATGGGTCTAAACTCATTAACTTAAATGGAGTTAATAAAAGTTGTTTTGAGTATTTAAATCTAGAAATTATGAGTTTTGACATTAATGATAGTTGGGAGCCATCAATGTCCAAAAATAGGTATTAAATATGAAATTATAAAGGTTAATAAGCCATTAATGGCAACATGAAGGTTTAGTGAAGCTACTAGGAGATAAAGAGAGTTAATATACTTAATGGGTAAGCTTGAATGTAAGAAATAAGGGTATTGACTATTTTAAAAGTGGAAAGTGAGAGCTTGGAAGTATGTATTTGACAATTTTAATGAGTTAGACTTGATTAATTATAGATTAATTGTCCAGGCACTATGTTTAGATTGAACAGCAAGCTTGAAAGCAAGTTATTAAGTGATAAATTTTTGACCTCTTAAAAGTTTGAGATGGTCAGGGAAATCTTATCATAAGTAGTTATTTATTAATTGTATTGTAATGTAAGAATGGATTTATTTGCTTATATAATTGAATTTGTAAATGTGAAAGCATGCTATAAACTCTATGATATTGTGTTATCTTTGATGTGACTAAAATGTGTAGTTGGACTCAGTTGATTTTCAAATTATGACATGTAATTGGATCAAAAAGTACGTAATGTGCGATGCGATGATTGCATGGTTATATTGTCATGTGAATACTATATATGTGGTTAAAATAGGATTTGAAATGTGTTATAGGATTAAAAGTTTAAGTTGAAAAGTTTTGTGAAAATAATATGAATGCTCACTTGGATAGTGTCATAGCGTGAGCTCAATGTATTGTCATATAACATATGAAATTGTGAAATGTATGAGCATTATAAATTGCATGATCATTGGCAGGCATTCGCTTGGGGAGAGGAGTATAAAATTTGTATGGTATTTATGGTTGCCTTCCGGTACATGAAGGCTAAGCCTTATCTCACTGTTTATAGAGAGTCTATCCCATAGTTTGTCGAGAAATTAGAACTTAGCTATCTTAACTTGTTTATCGAGGAGGCTAATTTAAGGTATACAACACTCTAAATATTTGAGAGTGGGGAAAGCCGTGGTTTAAGAGTGAGTTTTGTAATATTTGACCAGGTTACACCTCACAATTGGTGAGCTCGGATAGTTCAATTATATAGATGGAGCCCTATTTGATATTACAATGCACAATTTTAGTCAAAATATATAAGGAAGGTATAAGGTGGAATTGATTATGAATATGTGTCTATCCAACATGTAGCATAGTTGTTAAGTTTGTAGCAAGTCATAGTAGCGAGCGTGCCATTGTCAAAGAGTTATTTGTGTTATGGCAATATGCATGAGATTAATGATTTATGTCATTGTCACATGTCTATGTGTTTTGTGGTAATGTACCATGTAATTTGAGATAAGATATGTGAAAGTGAAGTGAATTGTAGAATTATAACTTGTATCTTGTGTAATTGAATATTTTTTAGTAATCAACTTACTTTATGTGTTTAAATCAGTTAATATACAATTGCATATGGTAGGTGTATGTTAGTTATTGAGTGGCTAGACTCACCTCTCTATTTTAATATTTTAGACTCTAGCCTTATTGTGAAAAGGAAAAAGCTTCCAGAGACTTAAGAATCTAGGGTTCCTATTGTATAGCCTTTCATCTTTAATTATTTTGTAATGATTAAGTATATTGCTAATTAAGATACATTTTATTTACATTTACACTATATTATTGTTTATGATGCATGGAATGTATTTTGGGACTTGGGATATTATTTATGATAAATTTTAAATGTTGATAGGGTCAAAGTACTAATACAAGTATAGTACAATTGATTTAGTCATAATATTAAATATTTATTGTGAAATGCAATGCTAATGCCTTCCCTTTCTATTTTTGGTAATAAGAGGTTGGTGAGTGAAAATTTGATATTGTCTATTGAGCATGGTCTAGATGTTAAAAATGGCATGTGGCACTTGTATGGAGCTTTGGACACCTTCAAGTTGTGAAAATGGTTGAAAATGTATTTGGGTATCCAATTTCTTTGTGTGATATAATTTGAAAGTTAAACTCATGCCATTAGCTAGTTTATAAAAAGAACTCTCCGTAAACATCTAAATCATCTCAATTGGATATTGGATGGAGAAATAGGGCATGTCAGAAGTTGTCTTGAGTTGCTATAAAAAACGTGCAACACGCTGCAGCGTGTGGCACAGAGAAAGAGCCATTATGGTGCGTGTGCACACATCGCAATATTCTGCTCTGTTGTTAACTTTTAATAGTTTTCAACTGTTTTTGAGTTATCACTTCTCTAAGTTATTTCAACTTTGATCCTACCTTTCAGACTTAAAAGCACATTAAGGGAGAAACAAATAGACGACTTGCTTTTGTTAGCTTTTGCTCCTGAGGCTCTAGCAAAAATATTCAAACATTCCATCATTTCTTTAGCTTACTTCTCAAATGCTTCACTAAAAAGTAGTAAATCATTAGCAAACGTGAGGTGGGAGATTGAAGAGACCTCCTTTATGACATTAATAAGCTTCCAATTTCCTTGTTCCATTGAATCATGTATAATATGAGAAAGCCTATCCATACACAAAACAAATAAGAAGGGTGATATAAGGGTCTCCTTGATAGAATCCACTTTTAAGGAAAAAAAATAATCAAAATTTTCACTATTTCACAGAACATTACATGAGATGGAAGTAATATAATTCATATTTAGACTTATGAAGTTAGAGTCCATTCTTGTTTCAATAAGAACTTGATGTAAAAATTCCCATTTGATGTAATCATAAGCTTTCTCTAAATTGATCTTCATAGCCATGGGCCCCTTCTTTCTTTTAAACTTTTTTTTTTGATAGCCCACCCGATTTATCGAAACTTTGCCTCGACTACATCTGGATCTGACCCGCGTCACGCACCTGACATGGTGAATGAGTCTTCTAACAAGAATTTTTTGCATACACAAGGCTCAAACTCAAGACCTTACTTAAGTAAAACCGAATCGCTTACCACTCGGACCAACTCCTGTTGATTCTTTCTTCTGAACTTGTTCATGGAATGCGTCGTTTCCTGTCCCAATCTCTTTTTTGTTCACGATCCCTCCATTCCATGCCCTCTCTCTCACTCCTCACCCATGACCCGTTTCAATCCAAATGGGCCTCTTTACCCCTTCTCAGCTGCGGTGTCAAGGATCCACTTCAGCCCAAAATTGCATTCAACGAACCAAACCCCTCCTTCTCATTCTGTTCATTTTAATCCACAGCGATACCATGACAAAAATACTTCGAAGAGGAACATGATTGGGCGGGAATCGTCAATTTATATATGATAAAAATTATTTAATTAGTGCATAAATTTTGCATCCGCAGTTGCCTTCGAATACGTGCACGTGCGCGCGACAAGTATTGCAGTACTCCTTTAGTCCTCTTTTAATCTAAGACATTTTTTATTATATTTATAAAAATTAAGAAAAATAGTTAACAGTGATTTGTAGTAGTAAATACATAAAAAATTATCATCGTTTTTCAAGATTACCTCTCAATTAAAATCAATTTATCTATTTTTTAATCCCTTT